AATGCCAGAGAAAATATTAACTACGAGCCAACAACAGATGAAGACAAAAAAAAAATCAAATATTCCTATTGATCTAAATATAATGATAACTTTATAATATTATATGATGTGAGAAAAACTCATTTTACAAATTAAACAGGAGTCCAGAGCTACATGAAAGAAGGATCATATGTAGCACTAATGCAGCGATTGCCATCAGCTACATACATAGCATGAGGCCATCCAAGCTACATATAGATTGCTTACATAATTTAGATGTTTCCATATCCAAAAAAATAACCACATCCATTCCAAAGAAAATGCATTGAGATTGCTGAAAATGCATTGAGATTGCTGATATAGATTGTTGATCATGTAGAGCATGTAGGTAAGTTTAAGGGGCATTTACATACATACCACTTAATTCTTAATGATTTGGTATGTGAACTAACAAGGTTTCATGTGAAAGCATATCAAACTCTAGCTGGGGAAGAAGGCCCCATCACAGCCATCGCAAGTTTCAAAGACCACCAAATCCAATCCTCGAGGAACCACCTCGAAGCCATGGCTTTAACTTCCTTCTAATACCTCCATTTATTCAACAATGAACAGCTCGAAATGCCCCAATGATTTTGAGCCAAGCATATGTGTCATTTCATTGTATGTACTGGAATGTATTTGTAAATACCAATTAATATAGTTTCAGATGAATTGATGCACAATAATGCAAGCTTGGGACATAAGAAGACTACAGAAAACAAAGGAAGAGAGTTGGGAGAAGTTTTAAAGCATAAATTCAACCAAATCTTTCGCAAGACTTCATATTTAGAACCAATTATTGTGTATTTACATATCTAACACCCAAATCTTTCATACCACAAAAAAATGTTTGTTGCAGAATTTTTAAAGCATAAATATGTTCCCACGTCCAATTAAACAGGGAACCAACATTAGGAAACCAATAGTATAAGCTGATATTTATGTGAGTTTTAAAAGAGCTATGAAAGCATGCACCAACAAATTTACACCAATAATCTGAATTCATACCACTGCCAAATTCATACCACTCCCAAATGCTTCCATTGTTATGTATGCAAACAGAGCACCAAATAGAGCCGGCATAAATCCAAAACCAAGCTTCAAGTAACCAAATAGAGCCGGCAGTATACAATTATTCCCCAGATAATAAGGAAAACAAATACATTAAGAAAGTAGTTGACAGAACAAGGTTTGGCAATTCTATGAAGGAAAAGAGAGCCCCAGATAATGTCTAGAAGGCTCACTTCACCACGCAATTGACCCAATGAGTATAAGAAATACGAGCATTTACAAACATACCACATTATTCTCCTGCATTTACAGATCGAACACCCAATCTATAATATTTAGATGAATAACACTCAAATCTTTAACATCACAACAACAAAAAATCCCTATGACCCACTTCCAAAAAGTTTAGGTGTTAAATATATAGATGTAAAGGAATTGTGTGGTATGTATGCAAATTTCCCTAAGAATTGTAGATCTAACTACAGATTTATTCAAGAACTAAATTGATTGTTCCTGTACATATGTATATGTTCTATGTGACAACATCCTCATCCAAATCATTGTAATAGTAGCAGAAAAGAGCAAATCCCATAAATATTTTTCTCCTGCACTCATTTTTAATCCAAAATTTAGATGTCATCTACAGCATATGTTTAACATGCCCCAAATAATTAAACATAATTGAAAGACATAATATGTAATGCAGTCTAAATGCCTTGGCTTATGTCATTTGCTATTTGCTCTCTCAAACATGCCATCTCAGAAGCGCCTTCACCATCTGGTGTATGTGACTCAAGTGAATCAATATCGATTTGTGGGATAGAACGTCCAACGTGGTATTCAAATGCCTCAGGTGGTATTTCCATTGAATCCTCTTCTATAATAGAAAACTCTGCATCTGTCCGAGAATGATGTCGTCGTATGAAGTTGTGTAGTGCCATTGTTGCCACTACAATCTGGACTTGTTTTGGAAAAGGATAAGTTGGCATATCACGTAGAATTACCCATTTCTTCTTCCAAACACCGAACGATCTCTCGATCACACCACGCAAGGATGAATGTCTTTTATTAAAAATTTCTTTCTTTCCTCGTGCAACCCCGCTAGATCTCTCGAAATCAGGCAATGGCAAACTACAGACCGACAAATTTTTGGAGCTCTTCCAAAGCATAATCCTGTCATATAGTTCGAGTTGAAAATAAATTACAGAACACATGAATGATTTTTATATTATGAAGATGCTTCAAACATATCGCAGAAACAGTGGGATGAGGAATGAAGATGCTTCAAACATATCACAAAAAGGTTGGGATGAGGAATGAAGAAGAGAACTGCCTTGATGCTTCAAACATATCACAGAAACAGTGGATCTATATTTTTACCAGTGGTACTTGCACATTCAGAATAGATCTAGGTTTTAAAGTCACGTAAACACTTCCAAACAGATGGATCGACTCGAAATTTCTTGCCAAAATCTTAGATCTCTCGGCGAAATAGGGAAAAGAAGGGAGGAGCCGAGCAAGGAAAGCGTTTTATTACCTGCGGAGGAGCGACGGAGGCGAGATCGACGCCAAATGTTCGAAGGAAGGTCGGCTGCGGGCTTAGGAGGGTAGCGAAAGAAAATATGGAGCCCAAACGCGGATCGCGGGGATATACCCGCAATCCGCGTGTAATATAACTTTAAAAAGTTGTTTCCAAAAACGCACATAAAACGCGATTTCCAAACGCTAGGGCGTCGTTTTTAAAAAAGCCGCCGCACATTTAAGCTGCCCCAAACGGGCCCTTAGTGCACCCCATATGCCTAAACGCGCTCCCAGCAAACCTGATGACAACAAACCTGAGGGAATCACCAAAAGACAGGAGTTCATGTCTGCCCCTGGGATCCTTTCTCCTGACCATACTAAAGCAGATAATGTTTGAACAGAAAATCAGGATAGTCCCACAGCTCCTATTCAGGAAGCATCAGGTGCAGAGGTGACAATTCACTTCAAATACACTGGAACGTAACGCTGTGGCAACGACTGTCTCTCATTCTACTGCGGTTCTAACATCTAATCAGACTAAGGATCACATGAGTCAGTCTTCAGATGAAGAATAGCAGGTTTACACTTCTCGGCGGAAGAAGACTGGAATGGATGATACTTTGGTTATTCATGGCAATGACACAACTCTTCAAAATTTGTTATCTGGCTCCGCTCCTAAAACTAGAGGAAGAGGCAGGACTAAACTGGCTCGTCTCTACCTACTTATTTTCTGCATGTTTTAAATTTATTTTACATTTTATTGAGTATATCTGTATCTTTTTTGTTGGGATATTACTGTACCTGGTATCGTATGGGTATGGTGCCTCTTTTGGGCCCTCATACAATATTTATGTATCCTTTTTATTTCAATAAAATCAGTCCTTATGCTTTTCATAAGTAAACCAAAAACCGACATAGGAAAAAAAGCAAGGAGGATTGAATCGATGCCTGTAGATCGCGGGAGAAGGCATCAACAAGACCTATGATGTGTGAATAAGCATTAGAACAAAGTTAATGCTTATGGAGAAGATGAAACAACATATAATACATGACATCGTAAGTAGCCCATTGTATCAACGTATTGTTACGAGAATATTAAGAAAATTACAGCAATGAAAAATAAGGAAATTCATAAAATTAATAAATTGATAAATACTAAAAAAAAATTTTCTTGTTAACATGTTATATATACAGAAATAGACTTATTTTAATATAATGAAAAACTATAATAATGGTGCAAAAATAGTAAAACTGAACATCACTCGTTTTGTAATTTTTCACACTTTTGAGAGCAAACATACATAAAAAGAAAATTTCAAGCATTCATTTGTCACTAAAGACTGAAATAAATCTAGGTTTAGTGTTGATTATAAATGAATGAAAAACGAAATAAATTGTTCTCAAGACAATATAGAAATAGCGTGGCCTACACTTTGAAGGCTACAAAAACATTAATGAAGATGCTACATTAGTACATAATAAAAAACAGGCAACAATGGGTTATACTTATGATGTAACGGATAAAATCAAATATGCAATTACAAACACTTTTAGAGAATAAGAAAAGAAGTATGAACGAAACATCCATATAAGTGATAAAAGATGGACATTTTAACTCTGACAATCATTACAACAAAGTGGATACTATCTTAATCAAGAGTTTTTTGCAAAAAAAAAAATTTCACAAGAATAAATCTAAAATGCAGTCAAAAAGATAATTGATAGATGGCAAATATATATAGCTATGGGCAGGTTAACAGAAGACCCAAATTAAAGATTTATCATAAATTGAGAACCTATTATTTATAATGAGCAATGGCTTAACCTGGGAGTTCATACATTCAAATGTATTCTTAAGATCACAGGTTCAAGCAGCTACTTCTTTGTTCAACTATTTTTTTTCGAAAAAAAAATAAATCTAAGAATGCTCTCTATTATCTCTTAAACAAAATAATTACTAAAAAAAAAATGTCACCTACTATGTCTCTCCATAACAAAGCCCTATGCCTCCATCTAATATATAACATATGAGGCGAAGTTACTATCTTCTAAATAAACACTATCTATAATCATGTTGCTGACTAATTCTAAATTAAGTATACCATCCACAATAGAAATATTCAATATGTATGTATGTATGTATGTATGTATGTATGTATGTATGTATGTATATGTATGTATGTATATTAAAATTCTTCTTGAACATGGCATTATAATTTTAATACAACAAAGTGATGAGAATATTTGGTGCAACCCCAAATATACAGAAAATTAGTCATTAATATTTCAAGATTGACTTGCAATGATGTTGGGTGTGACAAAAAAAAAAAGAAGCATCTTCCAGTAGATGAATAATTACTAATTTTGAATATATTAAATCATTCATATGTTTTATGTATTTCCTATAAATTAATACAAAAGAAAATTCAGTTAGATCAAAAATTTTGAAATGATTTAATGCTCATAAAGTACAACCAAACTTTAGAACAATATTTAATTTAAGAGATGTTATTGATACAATAAATTTAGATTCTATCACTGAAAATTAGGAGTGATTCATAGAAAAAAAATGGAGAATGCTACTGAGCAAAGGCATGGTGATAAAGATCTCACTTAGAGATAAAATGAAGAGGTATCAGAAGAAAATGATTGAAGGAATCTAAGGTTTAGTAGGTTAAAACAAAAAGAATATTGATCCACAAGGAAGGGTAGTTCAACTCAACCGACATCCACTTTTGCAGGTGAAAGGTTAATGAACAAATTTTAAATTATAGAAGAACATATTTGAAAATGTAATTATTTGATGGAGAGAGAGAGATTATGTGAATGAAACAAACGATAAAAAATAATGAATTTTTTTTTAGCTGTTAACACTGATCGCCGAGAGACCATGGCTTCTAGTTGTGGGAATCCCATATCCGCGAGATCCGCAACTTGGGAGCCGCTATCTCGGAGCGATCGCACGTCCTACATCACTCCCCCGGGTAGGATAGTCTTCGCCATCGTCTCCAAAAACATACATGCCCTCGAAGTTTGCCGACAAATCGATAACATTAAAAGTAAAAGAAATATTGTAGTATTATGATAGGTCCATCTCATAGACATTAACATTACTCTTCTTAAGAATCATGAATGGGCCACAGCTATAGGCTTGATCTTTAAAAATTAACCTGCATGAAATCGCCCCTTCAATCCAATCATACTATGTAGCCTTCCTGGACTTGTCAGCCTGCTTTTGATACTTAGTGTTCCGCTAGATAATTTCCTTCTTGATCTGCTCATTTAAGGTTTGAACGTCCATGACTCGATCCCCGTCATCGGTGTTGAGGCGAACAACGAATAGTATCGAGACTAAATCAAATGGTGTAAGAGGGTTTCTCTTGTATACAATCTCAAAAGGTTGCGACTGGTGGACTAACTGATAGAGCAATTGTAGCAAACTCTACTTGAAGAAGAATTAAATCTCAATGTCTGGTGTTCTTTCCCACGAAGCATCTAAGAACATTTCCCAAACTGTGGTTTGCAGCCACAATTTATCTATCAATATGGGGGTGAGTTGCTGAATTAAACTGAAGTTTTGTGTCTAATTTGCCTTATATTCTTCCAAAAGTGGCTGAAAAATTTTAGATTTTTGTCCCAAGTGATGCTCCTAGGAATCCCGTGAAGGCGAACAACCTCCTTGAAGTACAAGTCTGCAATATGTGATTTGTCCATTTTATGGAAGAAACAAAATGCGCTTTCTTGGAAAAACGGTCTACCACAACTATGACCAAATCCTTACTCTGTTGCGTTTAGGGTAATCCTACCACGAAATTCATGCTCACGTCCAACCAAAGTCTCTCTAACAGGAAAGGGAGTGTACAGGCCTGTGTTCTGCTCATGAGTCTTAGCCAAGTGGCATATCCTGCAGAATCTGAAATGCCCCTCCACATTTCGTACCAAAATGAGCTAGTAAAAGAGAACTTTTATTGAGATCATGTCCCCACGAAAATGTCATGTCACCCCTACTATGACACTTCTACAAAATACTCTCTTCGAGTGAATTCCGATAATGCACAATATATTCTGGAAGAATAAGTATCCGTCGGATTTGTGGCACTACTCATACTGCATATTCTAGATCGTATTCAAAGGTCATAAAAATTTGCATCAATTGCCTACAAGTTTTCAACGCCTCAAAACCAACGACCTTAGATCACATTGTAGTAAGTTATAAGTGGTGATAGATCAATGCATCGGCTACTTTGTGCTGACTCTCTGCTTTAAGTTTGGGTTCATAATGGAATGAAAAAAAAAAAAAACACCAATGGGGTGTGTCTACCCTTTAACGTATTCTGACTACTCAAGAATCTCAGAGATCTCGGGGTCAGTATAGAGAGTAAATTCATGCCTACAGATAATGACTCCAATGACCAAGGGTCCTCACAATAACATAAAACTCCTTGTTGTAGATAAAATATTTTTTCTTGTAATAATTCAATTTTTCACTCAAGAAAGCAAAAAGGGTGTCCTCCTTAACTTAACATAGCTCTGATTCTGATGTTAAAGGCATCACACTCTACCTCGAACACTTGTTTGAAATTTGTAGTGCGAGAATAGCAGCTTGAGTCACATATTTCTTCAAAGCATCAAAACTAGCTTGAGTAACATCTGACAATACAAATTTATCTAACTTAAGAAACTTCGTCAAATGTGTCGTGATAGAGCTGAAATCCTGATAAATATCTTATATAAAGAGAACAGACCATGTAGTTGGTGTACCTACGTAAATTACTGGAGTATGGGCCAAGACACAATAGCCTCGATCTTCATCAAGTCCATTCCACAGCAAACAGATGAAATAATGTATCCTAAAAAGCACGTCATCATGTAAGAAAGTGACACTTCTTTGGATAGCCTATAACTTCTCTATCCGAAAACCTCAAAAAAATGTCACAAATGATGCAAGTACTCCTCTAAACTATTGTACACCAATGTCATCAAAGTACACAACCACAAATTTCCAATGGATCAAAAAACTTGTTCCTTAGATGTGTAAAAATATTTAGGGCATTAGACAACCTTAAAAATATGATTATCCACACATACAATCCATCTCATGTCTTTAATGCTATCTTCCACTCACCCCCTATTCTCCCCCTGATGAACTGCTAGCCACTCACAGATCAATTTTGGAGAAAACACTAGCCCAATGCAATTAATCAAGCAGATCATCTAATCTCATAATGAAGAAAACATACTTGATTGTGATCTTATTCATGACACTCTTATCGAAACACATGCACAATGATCCATCCTTTTTTGGCACAATCAAAGTTAGTACTACACATAAATTGGTGCACTCGTGGACTAGTCCTCGAGCCATCGGATCCTCAACCTGCCTCAGTAGCTCCTTATACTCTGTTGGTCTCATCTGGTAGAATGGCCAGTTAGGGAGCACTGCTACTCGGTTAAGGTCAATAGCTTTTTGTATCTCCCGCAAGCGTGGTAATCAGTGTGGCATATTGTTCGTCAAAACATCCTAAAATTATGTTAGCAAGGGTCCAACTGCCTCGGGTAATGGCTCCTCTGTGTCACGGTCTTCTAGCATCGCGGCATTCTAGAATAAAGTGATATGTGTCTAAATCATCCTTTTTTAATTATTTTCTCACAAGTGGTTACAATGATGGTGGTGACATTCAATTCACTTATAGTGAGCGACTGAAGAGATTATATGCATTCACAAGCTTAGATTTGACAGCAAATATGATGCCACTCATTTGCCAGTGACACAAGAATCATTGTTAATTTTTTTTATCCCTCATAGTTATCAAAGGAAAAAAAAAATCACAAGGAATAAAGAAAAGAAGTGAGACTTCATGCCAAACCAAAAATTAATGGCATAGAGGTGGTCTTTAAACATAGTCATACCAAATCATGACATAGATTCTAAGTGAAACAATGATCAATAGTTCACATATTTATCTTTGTAAGCAACCACAAATTAAGGAAAGGAGAACGAATCTTGTGTCAAGCAAAAGATCAATGGCAAAAATTCTTTGATTTAATTAGACCAATGATCAATGGCTTATCAAAGATCCAACTGAATTTCAAATGAAAGAATATTTGAGAAAAAAAAGACCAAAATTATAAATGTATTTCTACACAACGAAATACAAAGAGAAAGTCACCACGTATCAGGTCATTAGAGAAGTGAAGTTCGAGCTCAACATCACATAGAGATAATTAGTAAGCTATGGAAAGAGCAAAAGTAGGAGTGGCGTTGATGAGCTCTCAGTGTTAGGGAACAAAAGGAAGGGTGCGGGTGCTGTAGCAGAAAAGGTGGAGAAAAAGTGGTGTCACCTTGTGGGTGCCTAGGCCTGAAGTGCAACAGAGAAAGTGAGAACCAACTTTGGGTAGTGTATGGGTGGTCGCCGTGCAATGCTTTGCAAGGTGCATGAAGACATGGAGTCTCATGTGTGCTAGGGTTTAGCTAGAGGAGACGGGTGACGAGTGCAAGAAATTAGGGCACTGGAGCAGGGAAGAAAGTGTGACAATGAACAATGCATCTTTGGAGTGCAATGCGAGAGAGAATATGGAGAGAGAAGTGCAGGAGGCAACTATATTCATGACACATCAACATAGAGACTAACAAGTGCGAGAGATACGATAGAAATAATGAAGAGGGAGAAATATATGTAATTGATTAATATGGAGATTGTAGACAAAACAAACTGCAAGAGAGTTGCTGAGGTGGCCATGCTTAAGAGAAACGTGAAAGCTGCTGCTAGGAGAGCAGAACATTTTGCATGACAGATTCCAAGTATGTTTTTCTTCTAATTTTTTTCAGGTAAACTGTCATCAAATTCAAGCTATAGCTTCTGTAACATCAATTAAGTAATCAATTAAGATCGAAAAGAAATAGTGCTCGGTGTCAAATTTTATGAAATAGAAGATGGGAAAACCTTTTTATAGAAAAAGGTATTGAAGAAATGACATTTCAAAAACTTCTTGTGCTCTCTTCTTTCCCTTTCCTTCAATAGCTCCAGGTAGAGGTTAATGACCTATCACAACAAACAAAACAAATTACTAAGAAAAATTTGTGTAAATCTTCTTAGCTTTATTCGTATATTTCAAAGAAGAAAAAAAGGACAATGAATTGAACAGAAACGTGGATACCTCATCATTCAACCAACCACCAGGTATCAAGCATTGCAAGACCCTCCTTGAAATCGCAATATTTGAGGGTCCATGTGTCACTAAAATTTCATCTCTGCATAGAGAAAGTCGAGCAACATAAAAAACTAAATAAACTTTCTTGCATCTAGCAGCGAGTGTGAGCAGCAGGATAATGGCATACATCATTCTAGGAAGCGCACCTATTGTCACCATACAGTGCATGAGAGACCACTTCATCGTCATCAAATTTAAGAGGGTGAAAAAGTTCCTACAGAATGTTTGTACATGCAAGCAGTCAGTAGAGCTGATGGACAATAGAAGATAATGTTATATTGCTGCTAATGCTCTTCATACGCTGCACTACATCTCAATTATAGCAACTGCTCCATAATGTTTCTAAACGAGAAGATTACCACTATTAGCATTAATTGGCAATGCTTGCATGATTAAAATACCATCTTATAATGGCAAATTTTTCAAAACTGATGAAGGGATTAAAGGACTATAAATATCAATAATATTATAAACTCTAAAGATAGTAGAAGCTACAAAAATATGCCCGATGTGGACAGTGCAAACAATTTTCTTTAAAATGTTGAGCCATGCAGCATTTAGCTAATAACCAGTAGTTCACGTCTTGGTTAAAGAACACCTGAATATGACAATGTTTCAAGAAAAATACCTTTTTCCGATCAATTTTCAAAACTTGATGCAACAAACCAAAGCAAATAAGCCACTAGCACATATATAAAGTTCAAGAAATTGGTTTGAACCAAATAACCTTCTATAGATGAAGATCTGGCACTGAAAGATGTAATCAGTAATTTTATAATGCATAATGCCCAGCCAAAAGGATATGTGGATCAGTGCAAGAAGCAGAGTTAAAAGACAACAACTGTATCGCTACTATTATGATTGATAGAATGAAAATTTTCAGGCTGGTTCAGTAAAAGAAATAACTTCTCTTACTCCTGGGGTAGGTAGTATCAAAATTTCAGGCTGCTTCATACAAAAATAAAGACAACTTTGAAATATAGATTCACAAGAGATTCAAATAATTGATCAACAAACAGAAAACATATTCCATAATTTAAAGAAGCGTTGTTAGATCAAAACAGCTGTAATACAAAAAGAAATATTTCCTCACAGAATTGATACTATCAAAAATTTCAAGCTGCTCTGTATAAAAAGAAAGACCACTAATAGAAAAATAACTTCTCATGATATTAAAATAGTTTACAAAAGTAAATATTTCCTTGCCCTTATGATTCATATGGTATTAAAATTTCAGGCTGCTTCCAGTTAAAATTTAACTTCTCAAGAGATTCAAATATTTTACGGACCTAGTAACTTGACGATAATCCATAATCTATTGTAGCACATGGCAAGAAAATAAGAATTGAAGAAAATCAAGCACTCTAAAACCTAGAAGAAACAACATAATTATTATAAGTAAAAAATGAGTAACCAACTTAACTTCAAGGGATTTGATATTTAGCATTTCACTCCTTAAACTTTATCTCCTTTATTTTGATGCCTATAATAATATAGAAAGCATTCACTGACTCGCATTAATTATTTATATTTAGTTGATATTTTTATTCCTACACTACAATTAATCAATAAATCTCTAATGCCTTTTAAACAAAGTAACTTTAATATATCACCAAAAAAATCCACATGATCAGGCACGAATATCGACGCAATTTGGAAGATAACTTCAAAAGTGAAATTAAAGGTCATTAGAGCTACAATTTTAACAAATTTATAGTCAAATTAAGCATCTAAACAATAAGAGTCCAACAACACCAAAACTGTTTTGATTCAAGTTCAAATAAGCTCAAATCAAACACTTAAAATGAAATTCAAAGCTTTTGAAGACTAAATGGAAGATCGACCTATCTCTAAATTTGGCATGATTATAGTCAATCAAGCAACTCGACGAGAGGAACCCTATGATCCCAATATCGTTTAATTCTAAGATCGTCAGGGCACGTAAACACTGAAACAACAATCCATGATTGAAAGAATCAACACAAAGCACTCAATGGATTTTGAGATTCACACTAAATTTATTAAAGTGCCTTACTAAAAAAACTATAAATTACCCACATTCTTGAGAGAACGAACCAAGAACTAAGCCTACACTCATGAAAGAGCTAAAAGCCAAAAACCATCAACAATCATCGATGAACATTTATGATTATTCTAGCCTAATTATGGTTTTTGTAGCCCAAATATGGCTATTATATCCCATTACTATTTCTAGGATGTTATTGTCTAACCATTAGCCCTTAATTGGTGTTGTGGGTGGTTGCGGTAGAGTGATGAATATGTATTATCACTCTATCTTCCAAAGTTAATTATATAACTTCTAATATATGATAAATTATTCTGAGTAGACCAAGTCCCATGATTTTTTTTTCTTTTTTATGATTTTCCACATTAAAGTTCTGATATCTCCTCTTTTAGCTTATCTTTTATTTGTGTATATATCGGATCTTCGTGCAATGCTATGATGTTAATCTCTCACTTTATCGTCAAGAATTTTCAATCACATAATAGTTTGATGTGATATTGAGAAACACAATCCTACCCTTGCTAAATTTGTGAACACTCATTCAATGGCCAATAAACACAATACTCGCAACAACGAAGCCTCACTCTCCAACACCCACAAATCAAGCCTCTGCTCCTTCCCTCCACGACAAAAGTTACCCTACTGACAAAAGGGTCTCAGGTCCCCCCTTAGAAGATTAAATCCATAGAATGAAGGAGTCTCGTAATGAAATTTTTTTACTCCTATATAAGGCTTGACAATCAATACAAGTGCAATTAGATGAGGTTTACTTACCCCAAATCGACCCTCCATTAGGGATGCCAAACTCGAAAACACCCATACAAAAACCCCTCTCCACTATATCAGAATTCCTCCTCTATCAAAGCCAAGATACATGCCTCCTTAATATTACTATTTCCACCCATCCATCCAATGCAACTCGACCTACTCACAACCTTCCAATACTCACAAGGAACTTAGCACGACCTCGTCTTATTGATAATCTTCGTCATATAAGCTTTATTGAGCTATGGTGTTTGGTTCAAAAAATAATTTTCCTTGAGAGATAGGAATTATTTTCTCTCACACCACTAGTGGCGTCAAAATGTAACCTAACGCACCGACTTTTGGTTTGCCTTATTAATTTTCGAATAGAGTTCAGATCCAAAAATCCAACATGTTTAATGTTTTAGGTAGGGTTCAAAATGACCCATCAATATGAATTGACCTAATTCTAACCTATCAACCCAAATTTGACCCAAGCCTAACTTGAAATTAACATGAGTTTGATTAAAACAACTATATATATAATTTTAAAGATTTTCACAAAATCTCGTCAAATTTTGGGAGTAGAGCCAGAGTTACTGAGGAGCATCTTCCTTTGAGAGTTCATCATGGGTCATTCAACTCATCATTAATCAAGAGATAGTATGCTCTACACAGATCTCATCCATTGTGTGAAAGCCCAAATCAATGTTGATGAGGTTATTAATACCCACATAAAATATTTCAACAAATGGGAAAGTGCAAATATACCTCAATGTATGAAACACAAATCTCAAGTATATGACAATTCATTCAAAAGGTGGAAACCTTCACAACAATCTCAAAATATTGTTCACATCAACTTCCATGATATGGTTGTGCTTAGGTCATCTTTTGCCATCATTTAAACAACAAGTAAAAACCAACTTAAGGTTGGATGGCAACCTCAACTACAACACCAAAAGAATAAAATTTCAAGCATGGTTACAGTAAAAAACACTCCCCTTTTAAATTATATATAACTGCATCGAGCAAATCAAGATTGAGGGAAAGCTTTAAAGGAAACCTCTAAGAAATATTGATGCAGTCGAGCAAGCACTTCTACTTGCCCATGCATCTAAGGCAACTAGGGTTGTGAATTTAGCTCGAAGATCATTAATCACTCAAAAATTGATTCAAATTTTGGCTTGGATCGAGATAAACAAGTTGAGCAATGAGCCAAAATTTTGGATCGATTTTTTTCGAGCTGATTATGAACAAACCCCATCTTGGCTCGAAATTGACACTTTAACAACCACAGTGATATTAGGGCTATGAATTTAGCGAATTCAACTCGAAGATTGTTAATAGCTTGAAAATTGATTCAAAGTTTAGCTCGGATCGAAATAAATGAGTCTAGCTATGAGCTAAATTTTTTTCAAGTTGCTTTAAGCAGAGCCTAGCTTGGCTCAAAAATGAATCATTAACAACCTTAAAGACAACATATCTACCAATTATCTCTCTTAAAGATTCCTACAAACACAATATATTTAACAAGAAAGACTCAATTGATCTTCAAAATTAGCATACAGTCTCCAGCTAGGTTCTACTTTTAGACAAGGACATAAGTAAGGCTCAAAAGGACGGTAATAATCTAAATACATATCAATCTTCACATTTGATACAAGACACTCAACAATCAGCCTTTCTAAACCAAGATACACTCAATCCAAGAAGGAATTGAATAGATCTCTTACATACATATTAACATCGCAGAGAAATACTTTGACAAACAAACTTGACAGATCAAACTTTTTTGGTGTATTTTTTTTTACCTCTTACACACATGTTAATATTAATAAGTGACATTCAGAAGAACAACCTCAAATAAATCGAACATTCTTAATAGATTTTTTTCAACCTCTTTCATATAGTTTGAAATTGTTGAGTAATGCTCTGATACAACTTCTTATAAGTCAAAAATATTTCTTTCAACCTTTTTCATATAGTATAATATTACTAAGGGCTCATTTGAGACAGCTGCGGAGGCGCGGCGTAGCCTCTGGACTCATTTTTGCGCCGTTTGAGGCGGTGGCGACAACACGTCGCGGTAACAGTTTTGGCATTTTAACGAAAAAAGCGGGCAATCCCACAGCTCCATTCATTCGCATAAGTATTACCAAGGTACCCTCGAACTCTCTCAGCGTCTCGTCTTCCCCCACAACTCTGAATCCATCCCGACGACGACCCAATGGAGTTTTTGTTTTCATGCGATAATTTTGTAAAGGTCTGTGATATTATACCAGCAGGCATCCATGGTTGCGCCAGGGACGAACAGAAATATCTCTATTGCGTCAGCGAGGGCTCACACCCGAAAGAAGCAGAAGGGATCATCCTTCATCATCATTCGAGGTAGGTTGCTCACTCCTCTTTGACTGATCTTCTGTGCAGGGATGATTTTGTTATGGCGCGAGAAGAAGGTTTTCTGATTAGTTGTATTCCATTTTATTTGTGAATTCCTTGTTGATCGACTAATTTTAGCTTTGTAAGAGAGTAGGGATTTGGGCTAATCAACAAGAAAAGAAATGAGCTGATGCAACTTCTTTTTTATCTTAATTAGGGCTTGAGAGATGAACAAGCTTGGATTGAGAGGAAATTAGCTTTCAGTCATTTATTAGATCAAGCAGAGTTTGTACATTTTAAAGATTTTTCTTATCGTCATAAGCTATGTTTTGAAAAACAATGAGTTTACTAGATTTGATCATTTGATTGGTTGTAGTAAGAATTTAGTATGCATTTTAAATAATACAGAGACTTTCAACATCCCTAAAGAATAAAACTAGGGTTTCATTTCTGTTATGACATTATCAAAATCAACCAAAATATCCTTTTTGTAAATTATTTTCTCTCCCTTTATTTTTTTGAAAGTTTACATACATACCACTCAATTCTTATGTATTTACATATCTAGCACCTAAACTTCTATTTTTCCATAGACTTCACATTACCTGTGCATGAAATTGTGAAATGTATTTCACTTTTAAAAAATTAAAATATCGGTTTTTTAGATGTGGCAAAGATAAAATTGTGAAATTGTGAAATTGTGAAATTGTGAAATGTACTTCTTATGATCCCCATTTCAGCAGCTATAAAGGTGGCAAAGATAATTGTAATGATGAAAACGATCTTGTTCCTTGCTATGGTTATTTTATTTTATTGTAATTGAGTAAACATAAGAACAAGGAATATTCTTCATATTTGAAGATACAGGACTAAAATGACTCCCTTGTAAATAGTTAGGGGACTATTTTGGCATTTTCCTCCTTGAAGTTTCATTAATATTGCTTTTGTCTAATGATGCAAAAAAAAAAAACACTTTTCTGTTTTTTGAAATTCAACTTCAGAGTTTGCATGATATACTTTATCACAAAATGCTTTTTTAGATACTCCATTTTTTTTATTAGTGGATTCATGTTACTTAAGGCTACCACACCTTGGTATCCTTTTCTTTTATTGGCATTGTTTGATATCTATTAATACTATTTCCATTAAATCGTGTGCTCAGTTATACTCTAAATCGAAATGATAGCTTTTTGTAAAAATTTAATTTGAGTGGATGTACAAACCTTCAGAAGCATGCCTTTGCAAAAAACAGAAATAACTCACTATATGGTTTGATTTAATTTTGGTCAAGTGCAATTTGAGTATGGTTTTGTTTTCTATTGTTTAGTTGACGTTACTCAATTATGCAATTATGTCTAAAGGTGATAATGGATGGATACACAACATTATCTTACTTTTGTTTACATTAATGCATGGGAATAACATGAAGTGTTACACCATTTTTAGATTTAATTTAATTTGATATTTCTTAGCCATTGCTATTTCAGTTTTCTTGTTTCCCGTGTTATTTCAGTTTTCTGTTAGCACAATGTTTTAAATGCTTTTGTTAGAACAATGCTTTTAGAACAAAGATTGTTGTATTATGGCATACTTGCTTCTTTTTTCTACTTAAAATTTGAGCAACTTCTACAAAGGTTAATTTGAACAGTGAATTTTCTTCAAAGGTTAATTTATACAAAAAATGATTTAATGCAGGGTTTATGATGTATACTTTTTAACATAACTTATTGGAGCAATTTATTGTTGTTTATCTATCAAAACAACAATGTGATTCAAACATGGTGAATTAAACAAAAAATGTAAGTTTGATTTAATGAAGGGTTTAAGTTGTATGCTTTTTTCTTCTTTGTTTTGTTTTTATTCTATTCAGTCGCAATCAGGAAAATATGAGTTCAAGGAATTCTGGGACATCCCGACGATTGCTTGCCGCTGTGGCCTCCAAACTTCCCTGGTGACGTCACGACGACCGCTCGGCTACGGGAGAAAGTTCTATAGCTGCCCACGGAGCATCACAGCACAATATCGCTTCTTTTGTTGGGCAAACAGTTTGGCAGATTCCCCTGACGACGACGATCAGGGTGGAGAACATCTCTCGAGGAAAGTCTAGCACGAAAACTACACCGTTAGATATAATCATCTTATTAATTGTCATTGTAATTGTTTTAGATTTTTTTTACTCTCTTGATATTCATTGTGACGTGAGTTAAATATCTGTAATTCTGGATTATTTTCATTTAAATTTTTTCCTTAAAATATCAAATTTATGGCTTCTGGAATTGGCTAAAAATTGTAGAATTCTATTTTTTACATTTTTTATTTTGTAAAGTGAATTTCTGCTTCTGTTGTATTATATATAAAACTGTCATTGTTCTGTTCAAATTAGTTTAACTAAACAGGGGTAGAATTGTCATTTTTCCAGAAACAGATGTCCCACTATTGTTTACACATAGCTGTAACAAACAACCAACCAACTTCCCCGCGGCAGTTTTCCCACAGCAGCGCAGTTACAGCTAAAAAACTGAAAAACAGCAGCTGCGCCAAGCAGAGCCTAAATAACAATCCAAAAAACAACATCGAATAGATCAAATATAACCGATGGATTTCTTTCAACCTATTTTATATATTGATAACATCAATGAATAACACTCCGACAAACAGCCTCAAAGAGATTAAATATCTCAACATTGCATAACACTCCAATTAATCTAGTATGACTGCTACCTGGCTTACATTGTTGGATCATTGTCATCTGTATATCGCCATCTAACAATATAAGACACTTGATTCTACTCTCTCAAACAAGAGTTAGACCAAAAAATAGATATTCAAAGAACATTTTGAGACCTTGAGAATTCTTGGGCTCCAATGTTCCACAACCTTCAGACTATCATTGTTTGACTAATAGTGTTGTCGAATTATCATTGTTTAATTGTCTTCCATGTCGGCACCCAACACCGTCAGACTACCACTATCTTTAAATAATTGTCGAACTATTGTTGTCCAACCATCACTATCACAACTACCTATTTGCTACTCACGGATGGCCATAATCATTGAAATACAACCATCAAGTCAGTACAGATTAAAAACTCTTATGAAGTCATTTCTTTAATAATAGTCATTAAATCGTTGATGCACATCAATCTTTGTTGTCAAAACTAAAGTTATTAACATTGTCACATATCATCACACATCACCATTGCTCAACAATATTAATGAACATTGTTAATGCACATTAATGCATATTAAGACAATATATATCATTGAAGCAAACAGCTGCAATCCATAAAACCCTTGAAGACACGCCCAAAAAATAACCTCAATAGAGAACTAATAGCAAATTAAGTTTTCACCAGAAAGATTTCATAAAAGCAAGTGATTGACAACGTCTCAATACAAAAAATGATAGAAAAATAATCCTTGAGAGTTATAGGAAAATCAAAAACCTTAGAAAACACAAGCCTCATAAGGGTTTAGAGTAATTATGCTCTACCGGAGGGGAATATCTCAAGTATAATATATTAATTTATAACAAGACTTATGTTTTAAATACTTAAAAAAGATTTTATTTTATTTGGAGGATAAGTTCTTCAAAATCGAAACACCCTTATATAAAAATTGATATTTTACCAGTTATTAGCATTATATTCAGCAAAATAATCATGTATTTTAGTCAATCTCATACATTCATGAGCTATTAGAATCTTACAAATGATATCATCATACTTTATATTAAAATCATTATCAAATTTAAAGGTCTTTTATAGCTTTTAAATTCCATTTTAACTTCTATTCGAGTGGGGTCTCTTCCTCTTGACTATTTGCAACTAAAACGAATCTCGATCACAATACATTTTAATGACATCAAAGCAAATGTTGATGACTTTTAAATGTTTTACTTGTTTTTAAGACAGTTTCCTTTGTTTATTTTATTTTTTTACTTTTTGTTGATTTATAATATTTAGTAAGCTTATTTTGAGGGTTTATTTGAATTTTGATTGTTTCTAGACTTTTCTTACAATATAAAAAAATCGAATTGAACTAGTGAAAACATGTGAAAAGTGAATTTATTTTGATCTTAAATCCTCTCGGTCTTCTCATACCCATCATTCTCCGATCCTAGAGAAAATAAAAGCAATTTAGTGCCTCTCTCTCTTTATCTTTTGTGTATATTTGTAGACTAGCTCTTGTACTACAAAAGTAGGCCATTCTCATTAAGAGGGCACGCTAAATTCACGTTGTTTTCCCTTTTTTTTTATAAAAAAGGGTAAATTTGACAGGATAAAGGGGTCGTGGTCTTGGTGCATGTAATGAAAAACCAAATTCATCTACATAGACATGGATGCAGAAAGTTTAAGGCATCTTCGCAGTCACCATTTCAGAATATTTAACACAACAAAAAAAAAACAACACAAAAAAGTGGGGCTTTGAGCACCCTAATCTACCAAATCTATAACTCAAGTTTAGGACCAAAAAAAAAGGAACTTACATCCTTGGGTTTGCCCTCCCTCGTATGGACCAGCTCCGTTACAATTTGGAAGCCGGAAGTTTTCTTCAGCGTTGGGACTGTCGCGTATCTAACCGGCGTTATCTCAAAATTGAACCTTCTCCCATCCCCAGCCTTAATAGGCAAAGCATACTTAGAATCTTCTTTATCATCCTTTCGGTTTAGAATGGCGAGACCTAACCGTTTAAAAGGATCATAAACCGCCCTCCCCACCGCATTGCCTTTGGCAGCAGAACGCCCCTCCACCAATTTACTGTACCAATTCAAGGAGACCCCATCATCACCCTGCGAGAAAAAATTACCCATCTCTGCAGCGTTCAAGTGTTTCAGTCCCTGAGAGTGCTAAGAGATCGTGGAAGGAGCGGTGAAGAGTAGAAAACCGGGGGTTCGGGAGCGGATGGGAGGAAAAGAAAGCGCGAGGTCGGAGGTGGAGGAGCAGCGGCTTTTTAAAGGGAGGAAGGGAGAACGGGAAGGGGAGATCGGCGAAACTGCGCTCCGGTGGCCTGTTAGGGCACCCATCGAGGTATACACATCGTGACCGGAGGATCCGGAACCCTAGGCGTCGGTTCTATCGAGTATCGACAATCTAATGAGACCATAGAACCTTATAGAGCTTGAAGAAAGAGCGCGGGGAGCAGAAACGGCACTCAAGGCAGGAAATACAGTCAATTTAATAGATTAATAATGCAGATCAAATTAGGAAAAGAGGGAAGGGAACATAACTCTTAAAAGGAAGTGAGGATGAATATTACTTGTAGTCCAACTACGGTTATTATAACCCATTTACTGTAGTTGTACCCCAATTATGAATATTTTAACCCAACTATGGCTGTTCTGGTCCAACTGCAACTATTGTAATCCAAATTATGCTTATACAGTTGTACTTACCCTGTTATCTCCAAGCAATTGTTATTCTAACATAATTTTGTAATTCCCTATTGTCTAATTAAAATGAAGAGTGAACATTAGTACCAACTGTTGCACTATTGGTTACTTTGACTAGGTCAAACCCTACGGTTTGTTCTCTTTTAAGTGATTTTATAAATATAAAAAAAAATCTAATTTTTGCTTACATTTTGTTATGTATGTGTGATATAAAATTATATTTAGTTGTGATTTGAGTTTTCTTACTAATGAAAATTTTTTAATCCATAATGGTTTGTGATATGCCACCAACAAATTTTCATGCTCGAACATGAATCTGGATGCAATTTTTTTAACAAGAACATTCAAACTTCGATTAAGAGTCATCCAGAGTTTCGATTTCAGTAAACTTATGATCAAACTGATCGACTAAATGAGACGAACCTAATAATATGAAAGTCAGTCCAATCCGAGTCAAATCAAGCCCAGATCAAATCATTAAACTACTCTTAGAGAATTTCCGAAGGCATTTGAAAGGTCAAACGGATGTCGAATCTAGCGAGTTTATAGTCGAATCGAGCATCTCAATAAGATGAATTCAACGAGTCCAAGATTTCTCAATTCTGGCACAGTTAAGGCACTCAAATGTCTATCAAACATCATCTGATCAAGGGAAGCAGGGAAGCTCTCCGGACGGAAGCTCTCCGGACCGTCCGATCAAAATTGTTTATATTTCTGCATTAATTGCAATCAAAACACTATAAATAGAATTATACCCTTCACATGAGAGGGGGAGAGGCTTGAGAGAGAACTTGAGGCTTTGAGAAAGAGCTCAGGTCTAACATCATCCTTGTCATCGTTGACCTTCATCGACCACCACCGATCGTTGGCGACCACCGCTAACCACCATCGATTACCGTTGATCATTGTCGACCTCCGTTGACCACCGCCGACCGTCTTCAAATTTCGTCGATCACCGTTAACATCTGTCGACCACCGCCGACCATCATCGATCACCGATGATCTCTATTGACCACCACCAACCTCCGTTGACAACCGTCGACCGTCGTTGACTTTAGTCGACCACCGCTGACATCCGTCGACCACCGCCGACCGTCGTCGAATTTCGTCGATCACCGTTGACATTTGTCAACCACCACCGATCGTCGGCGACCGCCGCCGATCATCATCGATCACCGTCGATCACTGCTGATCTCCATCGACCACCTCTGATCTCCGCAGACCACCGCTAATCTCCGCAGACCACCGCCAACCTCCGCCGACCACCGCCGACCGTCATTGACTTTAGTCGACCACCGCTGATGTTCGTCGACCACCACCGATTGTCGGCAACCACCGCCGACCTCTGTCGATCACCGTTGATTGTCATCCACCGTCGATCATCGCTGACCACCGTTGACCGAACACCGTCATGCGACGTTGTAATCATTAACATATTACTGGATTTTTATAACTGGGTCAGGCCCCATGATTTTTGTCTTTTGCGGGTTTTTCACGTAAAAACTTCTGGTTTAATCACTGGTTGTTTCACTTTCATCTGAGTGTGTGTTGAATCCTCGTGCAACGATAAAACGATAATTCATTACTCTACCGCCACAAATTTTCTAGCACGCATCAGTTTGACATCGTTTATAAGAACTCGAAATCTCACTTTAACAAACGTGAACACTCTTCCAATAGCTAACAATTGTAATATTCACAACAATAGTCTCCTGTTATGATATTTATCATTCTAAAAGATAATGTCAAAGCCACAAACAACAAACCTCTATATCAGCAAAGCCCTTAATAGGGATCACACTATCAGCAAAATGCATCTTCTTTGCCTTTGAAAGACCATTTGTGTAAAAAATCAAAAAATGAGATTTTTCAAATTTTACATAAAGTCGATGACCAGTATTTGTGCAAATCAGTGTGGTTCAACTCCCCTAATAACAAGCACCAGTAAGGGACGCTCGACTAGATAAAGCTCGTATATTGTTTATTTTCCCATACTGGAGTTCCTCCTCAACCAAGCCAATAAGCTAACCACTTGGGCATTCATAGTTCTACATTCATATTGTGCGGTCAAACTAAATTACAAACTCTAACACTCACGAGGAACTTAGCTCAACCTCGTATTTCTTATGCTCGTAAAAATGTAAATTGTAATGAGCTATATATCTAGCTCAAGAAGAGTTCCCGCTCATCACAACTTTCACTAATATTCACCCTTATTTGAAACAAACCTTCAATAGCCAATCCTATTGGACTCCTATGAAAGCACTTATCATTATCAAACTATCATGCACATTCAATGGGCATCTGATGAGCTAATTTTTCAAGTTTTTTTCCACAAGCATCAAAGGTCAGATACTTGCTACCAAGGAATGCACGCCGTCCACACTAAGATGATATTAAGCTTTTTGGTCTTTAGATTCATCTCATCAAAGAGGACTGAGCATTTCTCAAACGATCTATTGAAGATAACTTTAAAATCTCCAGATTTATTACTCCAAAGTTTTCAGGCTCCTACACCTTCCATCATGGAGTTCATATTATATAATTTCAGCAAATCATGCAATATCAACGCTTTTAAGAAGGGATATCAATTGTAATAGATCACAAATACGCATAATTATTTCAAGTGAGCAAGGCCCAAAAATATTTACCTTCACAAGTTTTTCATATAAAAATTTTGGCAACTCTTAAAACCTTTTTTTTATATGTGTATGTTGTATATTTGTATAAAACGAAGACATTGGTTTATCACTCTAATGTCATGAAATCTCTTACACAATTAATTTGGCCAAATCATATTAAAGTATAAACATTAAAACAATTAATAAGCAACGTTTTTATATGGGTGTTAAGTATTTCAATATGTTATAAGTGAATATTAAAGTTTAGCTATTAGATATATGAATACCTTAAAGTTATATAACATGCATGTCAATTTTCCGAATCTTGAAAAGGAATGAAATAAAATAAGTGAAAATTTTTTTTGCACATGAATTGATCTAAAAAAGTAGGAAGGAGATCATGCACTACAAAGATTTTTTTGTATATAGTTTAGAAAATTATAATATTAAGCCAAAAATCGATTGAAAATGTTTATATTTATGTTTCACTAAAAAAGTAAATCAGTTGTAACATAAGCCGAGTTTGAACAAATTATGATGAGCCAGACATTATCAACAACAAATAAAGAGTGTTATATACAGCCTTCCAATTAATTGCTCAATAAACATACTTTGCTTCTTGGATAAATGAAACTTTAAATAATTGTATATAATTAATTTTTGATATAAATGCAAAAACAAATTAGTTATGGTTTAGAAAATTGATCCTGCACAAGATTTTCAATTATTATCATAAGCAAATGCCAGCCAACAGAGTCTGCTAACATGAGAAAAAAATAAATAAATGGGCACTTCGTATCCATAAATGGGAGAAAAATAGTTGGGTTCAGGCGCCCAGATAAAATACAGTTTAGAATGTTTCAACAATCATCTTCACAGCATCTTTTACATAGTCACCCAAGCAAGATGAGCAGCAACCTGTGAGTAAATTTACTGGACCGCCACCCAAACTGTGCTGGCATTTGTCCGGAGGGTGGACGGAAGAGGAAACTACTGCACTACAATGCTGAATTCCACATGCTGCCAGAATCGTGTGGGTAGCTTTCCTTGCTATCTTCGTGTAAACAGAGCTCTTCACCAAATTATTACAACAAATGTCAGATTTTCAGAAGAGAAATTGAGTGAACAGTGATATGGCATAAAGTTTGGAAATAAGCTCAAGAATATAAATAAATACGCCATATTGGAAGGGAAACGCAAGGTTTAAAAGGAGTTAGCTGCAGTAATATAAATAAAAATCAAGGAAAAAAACACTAATTTTATTAGCAAGAAACAATGCCAACTTAGAAGAGGCAGGCCATGCTTCACTTGAATTCACCCTGTCTCCGTAGCCCTCTTAACTCAACAAAATTTCTCTAGATAACCTAGCTAACCCTCAGCTTAGCTTACAAAGGTATTTCCTCCAAAACCCCATTATATATATAGAGGAAGCAGATTAAGTTTGATCCTTTGCTCCATTACTCTTCATAGAGGCAAGCCTTTCGGTTCTAACAAAGTTTTCACGTTTAGGCAAACGATTCCGAGGACCAAGATCAATGCATTTTACTTGTTTCTCCATCTCAACTCTTCTCAGATTCTTCTAAAGCTTAAACCAAGATGCGAACATTCAGGGTTCCCCTATCGGACCATGAACTTCTAATGCTTTCCTCTTCACCTCACCGACAACCACCATATCAAGAGCCAAACAACAGTTATCTCAAACCATTCTTGCACAGATGAATTGTTGTACACTCGGATAGAAAAGAACCTCTTGTTCCCTTGGACATGAGCTGTCAGATATAATATGGGCTCTCAAATATAATATGATACAAATTGAAAAGAACCACTTCACATGTCAGTGTACTGTAGTGATAGAGAAGTGGACTCAATATTATTTGATCAGTCCACATCTCAAAGTCCTGCATTCAATCAAGTGTGCAAGGGTGCAAGTGAAGAAGATGTTAACAACTTGTTGTTTCAATTGGATCACAAAGCAAACATTTCCCCATGTTCATCAGAATAAATTACAATGTTTGGAATTTTCCTCCTACATTGTCGTCAAATAAAGACACGGGCCAGCTTATTTAAGCAACTCCAACGTCCCTCAACAGCTGCAGACATCCTCTTCCCGTTGCCATCCTTCTTGAGCTTCGTATGGAATAGTTATGCACAAGCACGCACTTGTTTCTATCATGGCTCTGTGATCTGACAATGATCAACTCTAGAGGTTGTTTCTTGAGGGGGAAAAAAAGAAGTTGATGAATTATCTTCATCAGAAATCTTTTGATTCCATTTCTTCATTTTAATAAACTTCATCACCCCTCCATTATTCTCAGAAAGAGGCTTGCCGCCTTGATTCTTATCCTTCTTCTCAATCACCATTACAAACATATTTGCATGTCTGACATCTTTAACGTGAAAGAGCAAAAGCTTTTTACAAATGTTGTAGTGCATTCATGCCATGTCCTTTATCAACACAAACACATACACCAATGATGCATCAACCATCATCACTTGTATTCTGAACTTAATTATATAAAATTACATAATCTGTTCTTATTGACGCAACCCATGCCACTTTTTCTACATTTCTCTACATTTCCTCTTCATAGCCCATAGATTATAATGCTAGACGGATTACCTACTTAAACATCACTAAAAAATATTTTGTCAACCATATAGAAGATTGACATTCCACCAAATCAACGCATGCCAGGTAAGGTTTGAGAGAAATCTTTCTTAGCGACAAATACAATAGTCTGAAATATAACTTTAGCTAATCCACCCATACATTCAGCTTTTCTGCATCAATGGAGCCTATTCCATTACAGATAAGAATGACATCATTCGCCTCTACCTTGAAGAATTGATATCTTCTACTGAAAGTACATAAAAGATAGATCCTCGTCTGCTAAATCACATTCCTGTCGCTCAGCAATATTTTTCTTTTCCCTAATTTCTAGTTCTGGATCCGTCACTGGAGTTTTCTTGTTCAACATCTCCGACGTTATAACCCATCATTTTGTCGATATTAGAGCTTTCCATTTGCCTTCTTGAATTTCCTATTTGTTGAAGAATGATTTTTCCGTCTCCTTTTAGCTGCTTTTCATCAACACCAACTGCTAAGATTCTATGCGGTGGCGGTGAGGTGCCGCACCGAAGTTTTTCCTATTTGTCAAAACTACATTTTGCCCACATTCTCAAAAAGTGTATTTTTCCACCAGGTCTTGTTACCAGAGGTGGCTGCTAGAAAGTTGTGGTCTGATTTTTTCAAAAATATTAATTTTTATAATAGCGCCCACAGCTTTTTGAACAGCAACTTCTCATTCATCAACTTCATAGTTGCTTCTTCAAACAGCTATTGCTTCTTCAAACAGCTACAGCTGCCCCAAACAGACCCTAAGCCAACGCACTAATACCAAAAACTTGATTCATTATCGTTGGCAAGACATCACTAAGAAGTTATGGATCCTCAACAAATGAAGGTGGAATAATCTAGATTATTGCTATTGGAGAAAAACATTCATGCTTCATTAACAAAAGCACTAAGCCAATTATAACCTTTAGGTTTCTAACTCGACCTCGATTCTCTAGCCAACAAAAACAACCCCAGATCCCAACACAGCTTACCCTTTCATCTCCTCTGACACCATTCATATAAATAAAGAATGTTGACTATAGATCAGATGGGCATTATAACCAAATCGAACCAAACAAGGTCCCATAACTGCCATGAGGAATCATAGCACTCTTTGGAAAATTTACAAAGAAATAGTGTCAAAATTATAGGTTGTTAGGCCATGTTGTTATTACTGTTAAACAATTAACAGTCATATCGTCTTTAGAGTGGCTTATCTCCTAGACACCTTTAGGAGACCATCTCTACTCTCTGGCTCTCAGGTGTCTTCCCTATGCACTCGGATCATGGTTCCCAGGCATTCTTCCAACGCCCGTTGACCTAAGCTCCTCTAGGTCTTAAATCTTTTAGGCGGCTAACTTTATGTTTTGGTTCGCCTTAGCAGAATATAAGATTCTCTCATGAGATTATCGACAAAATCTAAATCCTCTAGCCCACATGTCATCAAATTGATTGAGTGCCCGATGAGTGTTGATCTATGTAACAAAAAACTAGTAGCCTTGATCAGTTCAAGTCCGTGTAACCATTTGCAAAAAAAATTAATTTTAATATGAGAAGAAGAAAGATCATATGAGGGTGAGGCGGTGTTTCACAAAGGATGATTATCATAAATGAAGCCCAAAGCTAGTTTCTTAACCTCCTGAATTGTGACTGAAAATTAAAATTGAGACGTACAAAGTTCGAGTCAATGTCTACTTACTCAAAAAAAGACAACTTATCACACCAGTTTTACCAATGCAACATCATGTAGAAAGAAACATATAAATTGCAAAATTCATATTCCATATATTTTTTGGTGAAAATACATTGACAATAACTAAGGTAAAGAAAATGAACATTCATGATGTAACAAACTGGGAATCATGAAATGATAAATACACTAGACAACTCACTCAAATCAGTTTGATGTATAAAAAAAAAGGCTGCACTATGAACATTCATGATGTAACAAACTGGGAATCATGAAATGATAAATACACTAGACCAATCACTCAAATCAGTTTGATGTATAAAAAAAAGGCTGTACTATCAGACTAATCGGGCTATAAGAGTTGAAGCTAGACAAAGCATTCCATACTTCTCTATGGAACATTCCCACTAAACCACTCGCATCAATCTTATACCACTTATCATTTCCATTGAAGATAAATAACCAAAAAACAAAATACTGGTTCAAGCAAAACATCTAAGAGAATTAATAATTCTAATAAACTTCATTAGTTATAACCAAAAAATAAGTTAGAAACTAGGCAAGATGGAATATCAGCCAAAATGGATTCCATAAAATGTAACAGTGTTCAGAGAGTATAAGGTTATACAAATTTCATTCCATAAATTTATGACCAAATTAGCAATGACAGTAAGAAAATCAAACCCTAATACATTATAACATACCGCTCTAGGCATCCTATTTAGGCAGCTTTTAACCATGGATTGGATTTGCTCCTTGGCACCATCCACATGTCGAAAAGTTCTTCCTTCATTAGACATGAATGGAACCAAATCAGAGTTGGAGTGAGAAAAACCCCTGCTGCGTTCTGGTCGCTGCTCGGTCACTGAAACAGTGCACAAAGAATTTAGCCTCTCTAATTGTTCCTCTCTTTGTTCCGATACTGAGTGGACTGCATCAGTATGCAAAGAAGTGTCTGTCCTACTAGATCCAGGAAAGAGCTGCCTTGCCCTGTTGTTAGAAAGAAAATTTCTGATGCGCTGGTGTAGAGCGCGCCTACTAGAAAGCGTTGATGCTCCAGCTCCAGACGCCTGTGATGCAGATACAACACCATTTTCCTCTATGAAATTTCTGGGTGGCACATTGAGATCAAATCGCTGCGAAGAAGATTGACCTTGCGAGGATACTGATCGTTGAAAGATTGAACTGCTCTGGAAATTTCTAGAGCAAGTATCTTCAACTCCACCATGTGTATGGCTACTGCTTGCTCCTTGAGTATCTAGAACTTGGGAATGCAAAGACCCTTCATCAGCAAGCTTGCAACAGTCACAGTACCAGTTTCCCTCAGGTACTTCATTCCCAAGACCAACACAATATGAATGAGCAGAAGAATCACATATGTCGCAAAGCAACATTAAGCTATCATCTCCTCCTTGATGGCATTCCATGCAAACAACGTCTTCATATGGATCCAATAAAACCCTTAATTCTTCTTCAGAAGGTTGGTAAACCTGCCATGATGGAAGTAAATAGGTCAGACAAACAGAAAAGAAACAACAGCAACAACAAGCCCTTATCCTACTAAGTGGGACTGGCTACATAAATCCTTTTCTCTATTGTGTTCTATTGAGTGTCATATTTTCATTTAATTCGAATAAATTAAGACCATTTTTTATACAACATGCCCGGGTCTTTTTAGGTCTACCTCTACCTTTCTTAACATAAGTTGAACTAAAAAATCTACTCCCCTAACTGGATCATCAGATGGTTGACATTTAATATGACCAAACCATCTAAGACGACTCTCTAGCCTTGTCTGTCACTGAAACTATACAACATGCCCGGGTCTTTTTAGGTCTACCTCTACCTTTTTTAACATAAGTTGAACTAAAAAATCTACTCCTAACTGGATCATCAGATGGTTGACATTTAATATGACCAAACCATCTAAGAAGACTCTCTAGCTTTGTCTGTCACTGAAACTATAACAACCCTTTCACGGATATATTCGTTTTGCATTTTTTCGCTAAAACAGAAAAAGAAACACAAATACTAAATTGGCTGGTTACCAATTTAGTATAACAACCCACACCGAGAGTATCAATAAAAAAAAAGAAAAAAAATACAACCAACAGCCAGTTAAGGAAAAATATAAAACAATTATTTTTCAGAACAAAATGCAGACAAGGTCAAATAAAAAAACCACTTAATGAAGTTCACTGAAAACAAAATTTTTTTAAAAAATGAAGCAAACGTAGAAAATTTTGAAGTAAATTTGAAAATTACCAAAAGGCAAAAAAATTAGATGTGCACAGGTAGAAGACAGCCATTATTATGCAAATATAAATCTTAACTTCTCAGGTGAATCTTCCACTAATCGCAACCAACTAAAAAAGATCAAACTTGGTAAATTCAATCCAGTGCTAACAATTACATTAAAAAACCCATATGCCCAAGAAAGTTGAGCAAAACTTTATTTTAACTAATATTAAAGTGGTGGGCCCCATTTTTGCCGCCTTAAGAAAATGTAAAAAATGTGTATTTCCGTGTGGCCCGGCTTGAAGACGCCTGAATACCTCGAAAAAAAAATGTGCACCGTTGATTCATATTCTGATCATATGTGATTTTAAGGTTTTGGGTTCTCTTGCTAGAAGGAACCCTGAGCATTTAGGGTTTTCAAAACTAGACTAGTTTTAGCGTGGCTAAGCAAAGCTTCTTCGCCAACGGACTTGGAAGCGCGTCAGAGATTTTGACGTATTCGTCACTGGCATTTTGACACCTGCATTTCGACACCGGGACTTAGGACTCCGCCTAACAAGGTTTACACATGTTTCTAGCTAGTTTTGATTGTAAAATCTTCTTAATTTTGTTGTTCAATATACAATGCTTAGGTTTCTACGTTAGCTGTAATGGATAAAATAAAAAAATAACAAAAAAGAAAGAGAAGAAACCAATAAGGTAAACAAGAAAACTTTATTTATTTAAAGTTTAGGTGTATCTTTTTTTTAACCAAAGAAATATAATTCTTCATCTTGTAGTCATCTGTTCAATGAAAAACTTCGTTTGATGCAATATTATTTCCAGACTCATATATTTAATCTAAAATTTTATTTGTCTCATTTGTTCAAGGTAACATTTGCAAGTATCTCATTACCATCATATATACTGCTGACTTTATAATATTGAAGTGATGGATTTTATATTGGAGGTTTACTTGTTCAATGTGTTTGGAAAACAGAAAACCATCAAAATTCAAAATACTATTTTATATCATTGTTTAGCCTTCAAAGAGCAGTCAATCTAAAAATTATTTGCAAGTACCCCACTATACCATCATGAGCACCATAATATCATCATATTAACAGTATAATACAACTTTAATATTAACACACTAAAACCTCAATTCCACAATAAAAAAAACACAGTAACAACATAAAAGAACCAAAATACCATCATAATTCAAATAGATTACCACTAACTGAAGAAAAACTCGAATACCACCTCGAACACAATATCACAAAAATATCAGTGTTACATTACAACAACAACAACAACAACAAAGCCTTAATCCCACTATGTGGGGTCGGCTACATGAATCATTTTTCTCCATTGCGTCCTATTTAGTATCATATTTTCATTTAGTTCTAGTAAATTAAGATCATTTTTAATACAATAAGCCCAAGTCTTCCTAGGTCTACCTCTGTTTTTCTTAACACAAGTCGAATTTAAAACATCTACTCTCCTAATCGGATCATCTAATGGTCGACGCTTAATATGACCAAACCATCTAAGACGACTTTCTCTAATTTTGTCAGTGTTACATTATTACAAAAAATTCATCACAACACCACCATACTATCAAAATACTTTACATCACTTTACAAACTGAATACCATAAGATCATCACCAGTATACCACCAAAAAAACAAAAAAAAATAACCAAAAAATATGAATAAACTACCATATACCACATGAACACAATCAATATACTACCAGAATACCACAACAACAATACCAAAATATCACGTTAATACCATAAAAAATTCTATCAAATTTCATCACCAGACATCCAACAGAATACCACTAAAATAACACAAGAATATCATCGCAATACCACCAAACCAAAATATCAAGAGACTACGACCACATATTTTTTGTGTTATTTTAGTTGTATTATAGTGTTATTATGATGGTATTGTGGTGATATCCTAGTAGTGTTATTCTAGTATTTGGATAGTATTCTAGTTGTATTGTGATGGTACTTTTATAATTTTTTTTTTAGTTTTTTTGGTGATATTATGATGGTTGGTGGTATTCCAGTGTTTTGTTAGTGGCATTCTGGTGGTTTATTGACAGTATTCTAGAGGTGTTCTTGGGATATTTTGGTGATATTATGGTAATTTCTTCGTTTTAATTCCGATGATGTTCTAGTGGCATCATGGTTGTTTTTTGCCTACTATTATGATGGTATTGTTCAATTTATTTGACTGAAGCAAATCTTTATTATGTTAGATTTCCTCCATTAATGTTTATTCTCTTACTATGTAATACACTTGCAGTGCAATGAACGAAAGAGTATTGACATGCAGATGCAGGCCCTCAGCTGTTAGATCTCTTTGTGATGCAGTATTTGGTCAACTTAATGAGGAAATTAAAATTATTCTGAAAGATATGCATCTTATTCAACTCTTACACAAGCCACCTTACGAACAAAAAAATTCATTAACCCTCCAAATTTTGAAATGTTATCACACTGATCATAAGGTTATTAGAATAGGTGGCAAAACCTTAAGCTTCGATTCAGACAAGGTGAACTGCTCATCGGCATGCCTATTTGTGGAGAAACCATTCATTGAAATAAATTTCTCATATCAACTGTAATTTCCATTCAACTAAAGAACAAATGGTTGGCAATTATTTCGGGACAATATTCAACACACTTTGTAGAGATGCATATAAAGTTTTTCTTGGAAAACTTATTTTTAACTCGAGCAAATACAATACCTTGAGTGGCTTCTATAGTTTTTGGGACAATGGAAACAGTTTTTCTTCCTTTAACTAGCCAGCAGACATTTGCAGTTTTCTAGTTGAGCAAAGAGATGTCATTGTCTGAAAAATAAGACGGAATCAGACCCTTGGATGAATGAAAAGCTTTGTTTTCTTGTTAATGGTTAGTATGGTCGATATAATAACAATCTTTTTTACTCTTTTAAGGCAAGTGACCTAATGAGTTTTACTTTTTTTTACAGCTTTGGCTTTACGAGCACATATCCATCCTTACTCCAACATCACCTGAAGCAAGACTTTGAATGCTAAGGTGGTATAAAATGAGGCTATGGAGTACGAAGATGGTGGATATTCTTTTCTCTGGACTAACATAAGACTAGATAACAGAGATTTGAACCCTTTTTACAAAAAACAGTCGAGCGATATTACATTTGCCCTTACAACTTGATAATTTAGTTTTTTTGTTTGTTTTAGGTCTTTAATTATTTTGTTGATTTAACTAGTGACGAACAATTACTATTTTTTCCAATAACCCAAGAGTTAGGGAGCCCAACATGTCGCTCTCTGAAAGTTGATTTTAACCTCTCTACCCGATATGCACCCCTTGTACTATTTGCTGCAGAGAATGTTGCATCATCTACTCCTCACACTTCATATCAGCCCCCATCTCCAACTCCAACTCCAACTAAACACCAATCAGGAATAGAAATTGAAGAACTTCTTAGATTACTTTAGAAGCCAGGTTCATCGAATAAATGAGTTGCAAAATAATATTAACCACCACCACAACAACAACAACAACAAAGCCTTAATCTCACTACATGGGGTCGGCTACATGAATCTTTTTTCTCCATTGCGCCTTATTTAGTGTCATATTTTCATTTAGTTCAAATAAATTAAGATCATTTTTTATACAATAAGCCCAAGTCTTCCTAGGTCTATCTCTGTCTTTCTTAACATAAGTCGAATCTAAAACATCTACTCTCCTAATCTGATCATCAGATGGTCGACGCTTAATGTGACCAAACCATCTAAGACGACTTACTCTAATTTTGTCTGTCACAAGAGCTACACCAACCCTATCACGGATATAATCATTTCGCATTTTGTCTCTAAGTGTAAAGCCACTCATCCACCTAATCATTCTCATATCGGCAACACTTAACTTAGTAATATGCTTCTCTTTTAAAGGCCAACATTCAGCGCCATAGAGCATTGCAGGTCTCACCACCGTCTTATAAAATTTTCCTTTCAGTCTAAGCGGTACTTTCTTATCACACAAAGGCCCGAAGCATTCCTCCACTTCAACTAACCAACTTGAATTCTACTATTAACATCCCCATCAATATCACCGTCGCTTTGAACAACAGACCCAAGATATCTAAATTGTTCACACCTTTTAATAATTTGATCGCCCAAAGTTACACTTCTGTCACTAGAGCTACTACTACTAAGGTTACATTCCATGTATTCATTTTTAGTTCTACTCAAATGAAAGCCTTTA